GAATATTAGTGAACTTAATGCATGGGACACAGATAGGAAAAGGAGAGTATTTCTTACAGTTTTGCGGGGACAAGCGGAAACTTTTGTCTATGGATTGCCAGAATCTGTGCGCGACGATTGGACCCAAATTAAGGAAGCTATGGATGGTATATTTGGACACAAAGCGATGAAAGAAAGTTACATGACGGAGGCTAAGTTGCGTAAGAAGAGAGATACTGAATCTTTCCGAGATTTTGGACAGGCTATTCATGATTTATATCGCCGAGCTTATCCAGATAACCGAGAATACGTACAAGAAGGAAGCATCAAGACCTTTTTAGACAACTGCAATGAAAACGAGGATTTCCGTTTAGCTGTAAAAAGAACACGTCCCAGAACGCTAGATGATGCAGTAACGTCAGCCATGCAGGAGGAGTGCATCAGGATGACAGAAAACAAGAAGAGGGATGTTAGGTATCCGAGACCGCCGGTATATCATATTCCAAGTGGGGCACGAAATCCAGGTGATGTCAGAACATTGAACAATCAAAGCAACAGATCATACCAGAATTACGATAGAGCAAACCAAAGAACTACCACTGTAAATGAAGACCAGGCCAAGAGAAAATGTTACCAATGTAATTCCCCATACCATGTTATTCGGGACTGTCCTCAGAGAAATGCTGGAAATAAAGTCAACTTGAAGTTAAACGGGAGAGGACCGAGGCAGTAGGCCGTGCGTCGGTCGGGGTCCCCAAGAGGCCTAGTACAGATATCAAAAGGAGTAACGTTTCAACTGGAAATGAATTAGGCGACAAATCTGCATCAATTGTAGAAAATCCTTTTTGTAAACCAGTACTTAAAGAAACGAAAATAAACACTGCAGAGCATGAAGAATTTACCACAAGGCGGACTAGTTCCAGAGGAAGTGAGCATGTCATCCAAGGAACTCGAGGCATGAAGATTCTAGGATTGGTCGAAGGAACGCCTTTGGAATTTCAAATTGACACGGGTGCTATAAACACATTTATAACAGAAGATACATATTACAGTATCTTGCCAGAAAATAGACCTGTACTGGAGCGCGCACACAAGAAGTTTCATTCAGCGGATGGCGGAGATTTAGATGTTCGTGGTACAGCCATAATGCTACTCTCGTTTGGTGATTTAGACATACATTTCCGAGTATTTGTGGGAAAAGTGAAATGCAACTTACTTGGACAAGATTTCATGGAAGAATTCAGGTGTATATGGAACTATGAGACTACCTCGTTAGTGCTTAGCTGTGTGCCTGGTAAGAGAAGAAACTAGATGAATAAGAGTACCAGAGTGATGTCTGTGGAAGATTGTGACATTCCAGCAGGACATGAAGCTATTGTGAAAGGAAGACTGGACAGCAGAGATATTTACGGCGAAGGAATAATAGTGCCGTTAAAGAAGTTTATACATGAGCATGGTATAATGGTGGCCCATGCTTTGATATTAGTGAAAAGTGATGAAAATGATGTGTTAGTGCGTGTGTTTAATCCAAGTGATAACGATGTGAAGGTGAAAAAGATTACCAATCTAGCACTGTTTTCACCTGTGTTATGTTCGAGTGCTCCAGTTCCGGAAAATGTGTATAATGTAAATACTACAGGAGTTTCCGAGGAATTACCGGATCATTTGTGCGACATGTATAAAGATGGGTGCAAATTCTTGTCACCTGAGCAGTCCAAAATTTTCCGACAGTTTTTAATTCAGCACCAAACTGCATTTACTGATCCTAAAAAGCCAATGGAAAGGGCGAGGATAGGAGAGCATTCAATTAAATTGAAAGATGACACACCATTTAAGGAACCACCGAGAAAAGTTCCGATATTCAAGAGGGAAATTCTAGATGAAGAAATTGGAAATCTACTTGCGAACGGGCTTATAGAAAAATCCAATAGTCCCTGGTCGTCTCATGGCTTACCATCAAATTCCAATGAATGAAAATGACAAAGAGAAAACAGCATTTGCGACCCCAAGAGGAGGACTTTATCATTACAGAGTTATGCCATTTGGACTCTGTAATGCACCTGCAACTTTTCAAAGAGTAATTGAAAAAGCTTTAAATGGTTTACAATGGCACGTGACGGTGTTATATCTTGACGACATTATAGTGGTTGGACGATATTTTGAGGAACACTTGAAGAACTTAAATTTAGTGATCGATCGTTTGAGTGATGCAAATCTCAAACTCAAGGCAAAGAAATGCAAATTTTTTTCTGTAAAGAAGTTTCCTTCCTCGGACACATAGTATCAGAAAAAGGAATTAAAACAGACCCAGCTAAAACTAAAGCAGTGAATGACTGGACGCGTCCTGCAAATAAATCTGAATTACGAAGCTTTCTTGGATTAGTATCCTATTACAGAAAATTCATAAAGGATTTTGCAAAGATTGCAAAATGTCTACATGCATTGACTAGTAAACATGGAAAATGGGTATGGACTTCCGAGTGTGACGAAGCCTTTAAGTGTCTTAAGGAAAAGTTAGTGACGGCCCCAATATTAGGATACCCTGACGTTAATGGTGGTTCGTTTATATTAGATACGGATGCGAGCAATGATTCCATTGGAGCTGTATTGTCACAAATACAGAATGGCAGAGAAACCGTAATCGCATAGGCTAGCAGAACCCTGAGCCATGCCGAAAAGAACTACTGTGTAACCCGTAAAGAGATGTTAGCTCTTGTGTATTTTGTGAAACACTTTAAGCAGTATCTATTGGGACGCGAATTTCTACTTAGAACAGATCATGGATCGTTAGTGTGGTTACATAAATTCAAAGAATCTGATGGTCAAATAGCAAGATGGATTCAACAGCTAGGACCCTACAATTTCCGGATAGAACACAGACCCGGGAAACGCCACGGAAATGCAGATGCTCTTTCTCGAATAAATAACAGTGTAAATTAAACGTAACCAATAATGCACAATTGGAAGATGAAATGTTTCAAAGCAGTGATGAGTTACGAAAACTGTGTGTTACTTCAAGTGATTCCACGGAAAATATTGGCTGTGATATTGTGAAACTTATCTATCCCGATAATGAGAATACACTGTTTTGTGTATCTACAGAAGAAAACAATAATAGGAGAAAAGATAAAAAAAAAAAGAGCTAATAGACCCCCACGGGCAAAACCTAGGAAACAGCCGCTAATTGAGTTGACGAATGAAAATATAAGAAAACATCAAATAAATGACGAAGGACTGGCAGATATTCTCAGACTCAAGGAAAACAATTCCAGCAAACTCCAAATTTCCGCAGTGTCAAATAAAAACTTTGAATTCAAATTCTGGTTTTCAAGATGGGAATTACTACTTGTGAAAAACGGAGTTCTGTGCTATCGATGGATGGAAAATAATTGTGAAAAACTTAAAATATGTACTCCAAAATCACTGCGTGATGTAGTGTTGTGGCATGTTCATGATTCCGAGACATCCGGACATTTAGGAATAAGAAGAACCTATGCAAAGATTATGGCGAACTGTTACTACTGGCCACATATGAGACGATATGTTCAGGATTATGTGAGTTCGTGTGACATATGTGAAGAGAGGAAAAACCCGAGTCTTAGAAAAAGGGCCTACATGAAAAAACATCTGGCCGGTGAAAAGTTCGAGCGAATCGCCATTGACATCACTGGGCCATTTCCAAAGTCAGAGAACGGAAACCTCTACCTTCTTGTGGTTGCCGATTACTTTACGAAATTTATGGAGATATTTCCATTACGGAACATAGAAGCTGAGACGGTTGCGGATGTAATCTTTAAAGGATGGATCAAACGGTACGGATGTCCTTGGAGAAATTCACACCGATCAGGGGAGCCAATTTGAGAGTCGATTATTCCAAGAAATGTGTAAAGTGTTACAGATAAATAAAACCCGAACAACAGCTTACCACCCGCAGTCCGACGGAATGGTTGAACGTCTTAATAGAACTATCAAGGACATGTTATCGAAATATCTAACAGTACATCAGACGGATTGGGACAGATACGTGGATGGTTTGGTACTAGCTTACAATACCACCCCCCCCCATGAAACAACTGGAATCACACCTTACAGAATGGTGTTTGGAAATGAAGCTTCGTTACCTTTGGATATAATGACTGAAATAAATGTTACAGAAGAACAACCATCAATTAATGAATCAGCGTACGTGAGAAAATTAGAAATGGAGCAACAACTGGTGAAATAGTGCGGGAAGTTACTGGGAAAATATCTCAACGCCAATAACGATATTACGACAGAAAAGTACGAGAAATTAATTATGACATTGGCGAGCTAGTCCGTCGTAATCAACCAAAGATTATTACTGGAACAAGGCAAAACTTGCAAGATCGTGGACAGGTCCTTGGACTATAGTGAAGAGACTGAGTGATGTTCTATATCAAATAAGACACTCAAAATCATCAAAACTTGTAGTGGTACATGCTGACAACATAAAGCCTTTCAAGACAAACGTTCCTGGAGCCGATAATTTATATCGAGGCGATGATAATGACAACATGACGGGTGATGAAGATTCACACGGCGACGGCGAGACGCACAAGAAGTTACGACCAGACGATACAGCTGGACCTAAAGCTCTTGATCAAACAGTACCCGATGACCAATCAGAACAAGATTTGAGCAACGAAATTGGTTTTGACAACGCCCAAATTCCCGTTTCCAAGAAAACACGCCTAGGACGTCAAATAAGAAGACCGAAAAAATATTTTGACTTCACTTTTTCATAACGCAGAAAACAAACAACAAGATGTAACTATATGGATTATTATATATGTGAATATTGTGGAATTTCAATTGTGCGACGAAATAGTTTAGTGAGACATATTCGAGAAAAACATTCCAGTATTATTAGCGTGTTTAAGTGTTCATACTGCCAAAGACCATTTGTGAGAAAATAAAATTTAAAAGAACATTACGCCCGTGTGCATAAACTCTGCGAGGAAAATTTGAAAAACGAACTGTCAAATTGCAAGTCGACAAAAATGCCGTATCAACAAAGAGAAGATCTGAAACCTGTGTTTGTCATGGATCCAACATACGAAGACATATCTTCCGATGAAGAGGAATTCACTGACGAAATTCCGGTGACCACTCAGTCTGTAACTGACATGTGTGAAGACATTGCAAGTGACGATGAATTTAACTTAATGGATACAATGGATTTCTGTATGGACTCCGAGTTATTTAGCTCTACCAATGAAACAACCGGAGACATCCTGGACATGGTGGATGACATTATCGCCCAAAATCCGGGATTAATTGATTTCCAGGAAGATCCCTCAAGTGCAAATGCCGCATCCGCAAATGAAGAAGAAGAAGAAGAAGAAGAAGAAAGCATCCGAAATGATGACAACGAACAGTCAATTAACACGGAGACAACTACAATTTGTTTGTGTCTGACTAGGACCGTGAAAACATTCAAAAACGGAAGAACTGAGGAGACCAGAAATACTTCAATCAGCCACTCCGAAAATGTCAACTTAAATGAAGTAGATGTAGAAGCCATTGCCCTTGACATTCTCAACGAAGTGTCCGTTCAGTTTTCGTGGCCATCGGTTCGGGTTGCTGAAACATTATGAGACATTTGTTTGTGACTTTTTCTTTTTCTATGTGTTTTTATGCATTTAACAAAATGTTGATATGAATATGTATGAAAATATGTAAATATTACTTTTAATGTACCCTGTTTTAACTACGTTTAATGTCATTTTTATAAGTTTGAGTAGTTTATTGAACAATGTTTGTAATGCAATGTCAGCATATAACATGTATTTTTTTTATTTGCGTATTATTCATATAATGTATATATGTTATTAGTTTTATATCGATTACGCGCTACTTTTCATTAAATTTGAACGGAGTCAAATCTTAAGGCAGGGGGAGTTGTAACGATTAAGAATATCTTATCTTTAATATCATTTTTCATTAATTAATTGTTCACACATTATCTACACTTATTCTATAAATCTTATCTGTATATTAATCGCCCCTCTTATCTAACCCCCTGCTGATCGTAATTACCTGTGTATTGTAATTACCTGTGTATTGTCTCCTGATCTTCAGGATCTTATAAAGTGCTCCTGATCGCCAGGAGCGGATCCTAAAGTATATATAGCGCGACAGAATGTTAGAAGATATAGAAAGATAGGATATAAAGACGAGAGTACTGATATGTAGCGATATAGATTTTACATGGATTATAAACTTTGCCTTTGATTTGGATTTATATGTGATTGTTTACTTGGATTTTATATACTGTGAATTATTTTTCCTGGATGTTTTTATTTGTGATGTGTTGTGTAAATAAACTGTAGAATAGACGAACTTGAGTCTCATTTCAAGATATGAGGAGAAATTAACGCTACCAATTAGAGAAATTAAAGACTGAGGACAAAATGTGAATACGGCCGCTCGGTCGGCGCTACACAAGGATATTTTAACAGAAAAATATAAGAATAAAAAAAAACAGCGACAGGTAACAGTCATAAGAGTCTAAGATAAGGGTGTCGAACTAAAAATGAAGCTGAAAATGCATACATGAGACTCTGACATGTCAATCTAAGGGTTATGGGACTCAAGTGACTGTCAAGGCCTCTTGTTGTTTATATTTTCTGTTGTCTTTGCTTTGTCAGTTGCTACCAGTTTGTCAGTACACAAATATGTGTGGTCAAAAGTATCAAAAGCTAATGAACCAATTAGATCCATGTTTTGAAGCCAAAAAACTAATATCAAGTTTCATTTCAGAACTTTAGTTTAGTACTGCTACATGCAGGTTATCAGAGAAGACATGGAAGAAGTGAAATTTGCCTGGAATAACCACAGAATCAGGAAACAAAAATCAGGTGATATTTTTCCTGGGATACCTGAGCTCCTTTATCATGTTACTGAAATGTTACGTCAGTTTACTTGTTTTGATTCTGGAATCAAGTACAAAGTGATCAAATTTTGGTTTGAAATACTTTCATAATCATTATATCGATGATAATGATGAGGGGTTTCATTTTCTGAAATCTCAGTGCTGCTTTCGAAATGAATTGGATGATGATATTAAGGAAGCTTTTGACATCATCTTAGACTATAACCGTCCTTCAACAATTTTAAAAGCCAGAACTATGTATATTGCACTCAAAGATGTATTGGAACACCAGATATATCATTATTTTTTTTGCTTTTGGGGGGTATTTTATATCGTATTCTCATAATTCATAATATATTCTATAAATTCTGGGTTAAATATGTTTAAATATGAACATCTGTTTGTACACATAAAGTACATGTACATCATCAGAAAACATATTATATGGGAATTGTAAAACATATACAAATGAAAAAATATCAATGCATTGAATTCTAATTTATATTATCCAGTAGTTCTTTTAATGTGTTTTATATTACTTGGGAATTTAACCAGTGAATGCAAATTTAAAGAGTCCTGCAACTTACTACTATGCCTCCAAGATAACAATTTCACAACTTGTTGACAATGCGACACTACTGAACGGTGCTTAAAAATGTATAATGTAAATACTATAAAGTAAGGCATTTCTAATGCTCAACCAAAATTTGAACATCGGTCGTTAAGTTGTGAGATACAGAGCACACAATTCTTTGTTATGTAAACATAACAAACATATAAACATTCTGTCTCCATTTTCTCGTTCGGAAAATTCAGTCAAGTACTTCTGACAATCGATTGAAACGACGAAACTCAAGGGTCACTGTTGCGAGCTTAGTTTGGCATTTGTCACATCCTAATTTGATGGCAGTTAATGGTGACTATAAATCCTCTTCATCATCATAACTTGTTGTCATAAGTGCAGCTTTCACTACAGAATCAAAATGCATTGGTTGTAGAGTATCAGAAATGCTGACTTCCTTTTCTTCTGCGTTAATGCAGTCCCTTGGATTCACGAGAAGTCGAGCTTCTTCTGTCATACGGGATGAAGTGTAGTATAATCTTTTCAAGACATTTTCAAAAGAAATTTTAGTCATTACTACAAAAATCAATTATTTTTAAAAATGATGAATTTCAGTCTCACCCAGTCATTTGTTATGAACATTCAACTAAAAGAAAGAAGTTATGTTTTAACTATTATGCACATGAACATAATCATATAATGGTACCTCTCCATTTTCATAAGAGTTATTGTTACAGTTAAAACAAATGAAAATGGACATGATGGATGCACAGAAGTATATAGATCTACATCTGTAAAAATATTTACCAGAATTCTCTGAAGAGACTGTGATCTATTGGTTTGTATTTTTAATAAAAGGATGAGATAAGTATCACTTGTGTACCACAAGTTATATTGAAATCAGACCAAAACTACTCCATGATCATGGAATTCAAAAACTGAGATACAGAATTATTTTAGTGTAGTTTACTTGTGTGTCAAGATATAATGAAACCAGTGCAAAACTGTAAGAAGAGTAGTATTTTTGAGAAGTTGTTTACAGGCAAACATACAAATAAACAGCTAGACATACAGACGACTGAATCTTACTTTTGCATAAGATCTTCTGGTTTTGACCAGTAGAGCTAAAAACCAATAAAAATATTTTGTTTACCACAAGACGAGCTATTATGATTATGAACACGCATGTTTGTGTATATACAAAGAGATGAAAAATAGATTAACTAAGGTAACTTTAACGCTTTTAAAACTTATAAAACAGTCGTGACCCTAAGGCCTCTAGAGTAGGGTCATGAATTCTGTCAGAAATGTCTTCTTGCACAATGAAGAATTCTTCCTCGTCAAGTCCAATATCCCCTTTGAAGCTTTTCGAAAAAAACGAACCCAATAACCCATTGGGTTTGCAGACAGACGAAAAATCTGAAAGAAAAATTATTCCTAGCATAGTAAAAACCAAAACAAATTGTTAAATGTATTTCATCTTTGAGCATGTTGGGATCTGCATTAAATAAATACATTAGAACAAATAATTATTATGATTAATTAAAATAGAAAATAAGTACATTTATGTGAAAATTAGAACGACTTAAACATTGTTCAAATATACTTACAACAGCTCTATGTGTGAACCAACTTGACAAGCTTGCGTTTCTTCTGCTGCAGTATTTCCTTCAAACAAGGAGGGTGGTTCTGGCCTAGTGGGAATGCTTTCGACCTAATCAAAACACCATGTTTGATTACGAAACTGAATATATTGCAGGATATTCAAGCTAAATCAAGATTCATCTTCAAGACAAGAACTTTATAATTGAAATGTAGCTTACTTCTGCCATATCAATCAATCCAGACAACCTGGCCTTTTTGGTTTGTGTTTCTTCTGCTGCAGTTGTGCCTTCAGACAAGGAGGGTGGTTCTGGCCTAGTGAGTATGCTTTCGACCTAATCAAAACACCACATTTGATTATTGGTTGTTTGAACACTGCCTTGTATAGCGTATATAAATATGCCCGAAACATTCCGAATACAAGCGTTCAATATTGAACGCCTCCTTGTAAACAAAAAAAATGTCTAGTCAAATCCTTAGAGCTAAATTAACAAAATTAAGTGGCATTTACATAAGATGTGTTTATTTTTTACACAAAATGAAATAATGTATTAAAAATTTAATGCATATTAGATCCATTAAAACCTAAATAAGCAAATCATATCACTCAATTGAGTCGATCAGAATGATATTGAACGCTTACAGCACAGACGTTAATTTGAATAACACTGTTTTAAAAAAATCATTAATTTGAGTTTTTTGTTCACCTGAGCCGACAAGTTAGCTTTTCTGATTAAAATTTGTCCGTTGTCTGTCGTCGTCGTCGTTAACATTTCACATTTTCATCTTCTTCTCAAGAACCCCTGAGCCAAATTCAACCAAACTTGGCACAAAGTATCCTTGGGTGACGGTGATTCAAGTTTTTCAAATGAAGGGCCACGCCCTTTTTCAAGGGGAGATAATCAGGAATTTGTTAGAAATTAATGGCATTTTTAAAAAATCTCCAGAACCGCTGGGCCAGGAAAGATGAAGCTCATGTGGAAACATCCTCAGGTAGTGTAGATTCAAGTTTGTTCAAAGAGGAAAATTGCGCTATTTAGTAAAAACATCTTAAATTGGTCCTGAAACACTCCCTAATATTGGAACTAGTTTTCAGAAATTTGACTAAAAACAGTAAATATGGGCGCAACAATTCACACCTGATTATTGTCTATAAAAGTTAACAATATCTCCATATGATGGCGCTTCGAGGGGTTCTGCTTTTCTTTAGATATTTTATGATCAACATAGCGAACCTACAAATTGATAAGTATAAAACATTCCTTGTAATCAATAAATGAATTATTCCTAGGTGTCATTTATTAAAGTGGGTTAGATAATTACCTGTCTTGATCTTAACACTGTTCTTACTTCCAGTTAGAAAGTAGGTCATTACATTCTGAAAAAATGCGATAGGTGCTACATATCTTAATAAATAAATAGCATCAACAGCATTCGCCACTTCCAGTTGTCTGTTTAAGTTTCCCCTTCCCACACCTTCCAGAAATGCCAGGACAACCTTGTTCCTATGTGACATCCAGTCTATTGAGATGAAATAGAGTTTTAAAAATGAACTAATCGCTCATGACTAACTTATTTTCAAAACGTGTCGAGAGCTAGAGATGAATTTTGTTTATTATACATTTGAAATGAAAGTTTAGTGTATTGCATATAATAATACCAGAAAGTTCAAAATCTTCTAAGAATGCATCACTGTTGTAACACGCTGTACAATCAAATGCATCTTTACTGATAGCCGAAGATATTTTGCTACCGATGCTTTTTGAGATAGCAATGAGCTCGTCCTCGGAGAAGTTTTTTTTTTTTCGATAGCAACCAGGACGTCTTCGCAAGAAATACCTGTTAAATTGTGTAAAGTTATTTTTTGAAACACTGATTTTAGCTTACCTGAGCAAAAGGCTCAAGTAAGCTTATCTGGTCACATTTTATACAGTCTGTCTGCATGTCCGTCTGTCTATAACTTTCGTTTATTGACTTCTCGAGGACCACTGGGCCAATTTCAACCAAAATTGCCACATATTATTCTTGTGTAAAGGAAATTCAAGTTGTTTTTTTTTTCAAATGAATAGCCGCGTTATCTTCCAATGTAAAATCATTTGAAATAAGTACATGTAAAAAAAAAATAAAGACATCTTTTACAAAATCTTATTCTGTTTCGAGAACCACTGGATCAGGAAAGGAAATATGAAATATGTGAAAACATCCTCAGATAGCGTATATTCAAATTTGTTCAAATCATGAAAAACCCTCCCCCGGGCTACGTTGGTACGACAATAAAGGTCCAAAATTAAAGGTAAAATGCCACAGTTAGTAAGCATTGATCCTTTGTCAGTGTAGACTATTAACTTTTTTCAAAATATACCCAACCCTCCTCTTTCAGGGTAGGTAGGGAACACTAGTGTAATCAAATGTTTCAATACTTAAATGATTTCTGCTTTGTTTTTCATAGCCACACTTCTTAAGTGAGCGATGTGGCCCATGGACCTCTTATTTTCAAATAGAGTTTTAAAGAGATGTGCATACTCTTAAAGCCGCATTAACTGTCCCAATTCATTAGAATATGTATGAAAGAAATAAAGTGTTTTTTAGTTTTATTCCAACTTGAAACATTGATACCAACTAGGTTTTCAATTAAAAGTTACCACTTACTTATGCATTAGTTAAAAACGGAATACCGCAACAATTATTTACTTCCCGTACATTAATTCCACCCGACATTATCCGACAATTTCCGTATGCATTTGACCTAAGATTTGACCCGATTCGTAGACGGTGAATGCGCATGTCAGAAGATGTGATAATGTCGGGCTGTATGGAAAAACGTGGTAGACCAAGAAGTCTAACGGATTCTGCTCGCAAAAGAAGGAGATCTGAAGCAAATGCTCAAAACAATAAGAACAGAATTTATTTAGGATGCCAGTACGACAGGTGGATTGCTGTCAAAGGAGAAATAAATGCAGAGAACAACAGCGAAGTAGCTAAATTTTTGATTGACAGGTAAAATTATATATTTTGTTGCATTTTTAAGAACGTAGATTACTTTGCACACGTATAAAAAAATTTGATATGTATTTTAAGACATTGGCAATAACGATATACGCTAAATCATGCATCACATAATGTGACAATGGATGTCTTGAAATACGTTTTCGTGTTAGGGGCCCATCAAGGGGATATTGAAACTTATTAATGATAATAAATAACGTTACAATTTATTACTGTTTTTATTCACCATCAATGCCTTTGCAAGTTCCAAATATTCATCCAGTAAAAGATAATGCTTTGGTTTAACAAGTTTTCTGTATGAACACTGTGTATACAGGTCCAGTACAATCACTAGATTTAGCGACGTTGGTAGTTTCCCAAGTTTTCTTTTTATTACGAGACAAAAAAAAATCACAATTAAATGACTATTATTAATTATTTATACTTGGGAGGTTTTAAAAAAAATCCAAAGCAGATATAGTTTATACAATGTTGCATTTGGACAATTCGGAGCAAAACATGTAATTCCATTGTTTGGTTAATTGTCCTCTCTATTGGGTGCGGTGAGGCATGACTGAGTATGATTACTTCACATTGTTCTAAATTAATTACCGACCTATTATCATGTTTTCTTTGTCATTTCATTCAAGGATAGCTGCAAAACTGTAGCTCTCTGCTAGAAAAAATTGAGACAGGTAAAGCAGAGAGCTACAGATTGGACATCCGTGCGTTGTAAAAACCTTCGATTTACGCCGACGATTTTGTCTCTATTTTAATAGGTATTTATTTTGTATAGTTTTAGCTTTTTCTGGCTTTTAGAAGGGTATCAGATAATTAATCATATATTTAGGCTAACTCTTATATTAAATATTTGATACTTTATTTACCTTTTAACGGCCCGAAACAGCCCTGTAAATTAATAGTTTTGTAATGTCGGTTTAAAAAAGTTCCATTTCGACGTCCGTAACCAAAAACAGTCATTTGTTAGCGTTGAAAAGGTAATTAAGTTAATTATCATGAATTGAAGTTAAGTGTATGATTATTTATTAAATACCATTCTTAAAGCTGGGGAAAGTATAAAATACAAGAAAAAATACCCGAAGTGAGCGACAAAAAATGGTTGGAGTAAATGGAAGGTTTTTACAACGCATGGATCTGTAGCTCTCTGCTTTATCTGTCTAAATTTTCTCAAGCAGAGAGCTACAATTCTGCAGCTAATTCAAGAAGTAACTGTTCTAACTGTCATACATAGCCCCAAAACTTTCAGAACTTTGATTGTAATTGCACAGAAATAGACAATTCTTCAAGAGTGATTTTCACATATTTGTTTTCAGATAGGTTCAAAGTTGAAAGTTTTTTTTTCCCACATCCACTTTTGGCGATTGTTCCCAAACCTGTTTATTATCATAAATATTATGTATTCTGAATTTACTTGTTGGGAATAAATTTTGTTATCAAGTGTAAACATCCACCTAGTAAATCTAAAATTTAAAACATGATACCTAGCAAATATCCAGCTACTGAAAAAAAAGTCTAATCCCCCATTCACCCCTCCCCCTTCCCTACCTGCAAAAAAGAAACAAGATTTCATGTGTACATTTTAAATATATTTGAAATGATTTGACAGATATGAAGAACAGAAGACTAACAAAACTGCGCATGCGACAATAATTGTGTCAACACCAGGACGAACACCATGTACTACAAAGGCACTGAGTGAATCAGAAATTAGTCAAATCACATCATCTGATCAAGAGCCACATTACATGTAAGTGCTTGCTACTATAGTTAATGCATTGGCGTCGGAAGCAAATTGAAAGTGGGGGGGGGCTAAGTTTAAAAAAAATTTTTTTTACACCTTCTCAAAAAACCTGACAAGCAAAAAAAAAAAAAAGGAAATGCCAATTTCCGAAACACGAAAACCCTATTTCGAGGTGGGAGGGGGGGGGGTTTAATTCGAACTTCAGTACCAAAAATTTTTTCAAAACACCACCTTTTCCTCATTTCATACCTCTACTGCGACATGTCAGTGGAAAAGGGGGGGGAGGGCTAAACCTACGAAGCAATGTTCAATGACTATACTGAAATGTGAAAAAGTAATGTTATAACAAGTAAAGATAATTTGTTAACAGTCTTTGGGTAATCACTTTTAGAGAATCTGAAATGTCTGGTGTTGAGGACTTGCATGGCTTAAGGTCAGATAAAAAACTAAACATGGACAAATCCAGCAGTTTCATCAACCCGTTTGAGTAAGTACCAATTAATTTTGACATATTTATGAACTTTTAGAACACTATACAATGTTTTATATTATAATACAAATATAGCCCTATCATGACGTCAATCCATAGATATATCGACTTCACAGAAAAGCATATCAATCTCACATGAGCATAACGGTGTTGCGTGAGGTCCATATGCTTTTCTGTGAAGTGGATATAATGTATATCAATGAATGGACAAAAAAAGGACAATATTTCTTTTAACTATTTTCTGCAAAATACAAAGGCTACATTAGTTTTTTATAGGAAGATTGTCAAAATGTAAAGAAAGAGATATATTATTGAAGTAATAATTCCTGCGTCAGAGGATTATATTGTTAGATTTGTTAAATTAATTTCTAAGTTGATCCTTATGTCGCTTGTTTGAATCCCACTGTGGTACATGAAGACCGGTCCTTCAGATGAGACCATATAAACCGAGGCCCTGTGTGGCAAAAGGTGCTAGCTGGCACAAAAAAAATCCCTCACTGCTCAATGGCTATAAGTGCTGTGGGTAGCTAGGACTAAATTTGCAGCTCTATGACGGCAAGTGATGGCATCTCCATATAAGTGAAAAATTATATAGAGGGACGTTAAACAACATATACATGTAGTACAAACAAACAAAAATTACAGGATCTTTCTTCAGATTATCACCTTTCATTGTGAATTATATTGTATGTGTGAAAGATTTGAGAAATAAAAATATTGCTACAAGTTTTTTTTTTTTTTTTTATAGACTTACTATTGATATATCTGAAAATGCTGAGATGTCTTACCAGTCATCAGATGACGAGTATGTGCCAAGCTTTGATATTACTTTACAGTAAGTTGAATTAACCTAATGCACTTTACTACTAGAAAATTTCTTTTTTTAATGCTGGGTATTACCTAAATATTTGTGACATCATTGCATTTAATGAAATTGTTGATGATTACTCTGAGTGGATTTATTGATGTGAAACAAACTTGTGAATGTTATTAATATTGAGTGTGAGACACAAATGCAACCAACTTGGACCAATTATTATACATGTATAAACAATTAATTGATCAAAAATATACAATTTTAGAGAAGCCAATATCTAAAAAAATGATGAAAAGTAAAGAAAATTTAATTAAAACAATACCTGTAATAGATTTTACTCATCATGTTTATGAACATGTCAATATTTGTTGGTATAATTTTTTTGTTTTCATGGGGGAAGGGGGCAGTAAATTGAAAATTATTTCATTAATTTAATTTTTTTCTTTTAATTTAAGACCAAATACAACTGTCAATATTGAAGAAGAAGAAGATGAAGGTGCTGATATGAATGAAAAAGATGGGTCAGATGAACCAGCTGTTGATATGGGTCCAGGCATACGAAGAATAGATGCAACGAATATAGATGGATTTATGTCAGACAGACCTTATCTTGTATATATGGATTGTCTTCTGAAGCTGGCTCACACTAATGTTAGACAAACCTGTACCCTGTCAGATTGCCATAGTGAAGTTACCTTAAAAACAGATAATGTTGGATCTGCCCTATACTTAACATGGGTGAGTTATAGATAGCTATATATTTCATTACTGAAGAAATTAAAATGTGGTTCTGTATATACATGTAGATATCACAATGTCTATTCATCCATCAATCTGTATATCAACACTTTTGGAAGATACATAATTCTTTTTATTTCTGCTTGTTTCAAATCTCAAGTGACCGTTCATGGTATAGCTTAGTTGGTAGAGCTTTCGCTCCGTAATCAAGAGACCGTGAGATCAAATCTAGACCGTGAATGACCTAAGTCAATAAAAAATGGGCAGCAACTACCGTACTCCTTCACCATCGGCACTTTGAATACTCTGTGTCATAGTAAATGTCGGCACGATAAAGATCCCTCACTGCTCAATGGCCCTGAGTGCTGAGTAAAGGTCAAAATTACATGTAGAAGCTCTTCACTGCTGTATGGTGACATCTTTATATAAGTGTAAAACAACATACAAACAATCAATCAAATCCAAGTGTTACCTTTCTTTGTTATACATACAGTCATGATACAGGCCTGTAGAGCTACAGTCTTGTCAGAGACTTCTGGTTATGGGATTGGCAATAGACTTAGATTTTGATGCCATTTAAAATAGTAAAATGTTGTCATGTGCAATGACATGTAATTATGTAATAGTAGTGAGAGGAATGAGACAAATTATAGATAGGAGGTTGAAATTTTTGTACATTCAAAATGACTTTGTCAATTTATTCACAGTATTTTGGCATTTTTGTAATTTATATGTACCGGTACTTGATTATTTTTTAAGGTATGCAAAAATGGTCATGTGCAGAACAAATGGTGTTCCCAACCACTTTTGAACAGGCGGCTACACACTGGAGACTTGCTCTTGGCTTCTGCAACTGTCTTATCGGGAAATAATTTCCAGAAAATAGATTTATTTGCGAAAGTACTGGGTCTTCCAATCTTGAGTTCCTCAACATTCTTTAAAATACAACGTACATATATTGTTCCATCAGTAGACCATCATTGGACAAGCCATCTTGATTCTGTATTGGAAGAGTTCCGTGGGAAGGAGGTTGTTGTTTTTGGTAAATATTACTTGCTGAAACCTGGAAATCTTAAATTAAATAGATAGTTCATTTGTTAGAAGAATTTAAATTATATCTGATCTGAAATTAACAGTAATACAATAAACTACATGTATCCTAATATTAATGTTTAGGTGATGGAAGAATGGATAGCCCAGGTCACTCTGCACAATATTGTTCCTATACGTTCATGGAAATGGAAACCAAGAAGATACTGAGCATTGTAACCATGGATAAAAGAATGACTGGGGGGAAAAGTACCAACCTTGAGAAAGCTTGCTTTGAAAAAGGCTTGCATTCTCTACTAGATGCTGGTGTGAACGTGGTTGAAGTTGTGACCGATGCACATCCTCAGATAGGAGCATTAATGAGTATGTAATTAAAATAACATAAAATTATAATTTTTCATAAAACCATCATGCATACATACACAATTCTTTCCATTCAATTTTTCTAGTTTAAAAATTAGTCATTGAAGTGTTTGTTATATGTCAAATTTAGCTTTCATTTACAAACTATAATTTGAAACCTTCAAATATTTTGACAGTAATGTTTATTATTGTGTCTACTTGTCTTGTGAAAAGAACTCGTGTGTAGAAAACGTAAACCACGTGCTATGACATGTTTCATCAAAAAAGAATATATCTTGATGACTCTTTAATTTTTATTTCTAGAGAAACCCCAGTATCGCAATATAAAACATTTGCTGGATATATGGCATGGTACCAAAAATATTGGGAAAAAAATCATTCAGGTATAACAGTATGAAAAAATCTGGGTCTATGGTTACAGCTAATAATGATAAACAGGCAGAAAAAGACTCCTAAATTTGTAAATGTATGTTAAGAACTTTTATTACTAATATCTGTGCAAGCAAGAATTATTACATAAGTCTTTCAAGTAAATAGTTAATCAGTCAATCTTACTTTGTATGTTCAAGTTAAACTATTTTTCAGGTTGCTCAGGAGAAAGGAAAAAAGAACAAACAACTATTCGACTGGACAAAAGACATTGTTAATCACTACTGGCACTGTGCCTCCATCAGCACAACTGTTGAAGAATTTAAGGTACGTTTAATTAAAGATAAGACATTTAGGTAGGTTCAAAGTGACCATTATACATCTGCAACTAAGTTGGGGGATTGTTTGTGAGGTTTTTCTTTGCCCTTTGATATAAGATTGTAAAGCTTCATACCAAAACTCTCCTCAAATAGTAAAGATAGATGAAGTTTGTTCAAATCATGACCCCAGGGGTGAGGTGCTGCATCAATGGACAAGCAATTAGTATTGCACAAGAATATATAGCGAAAAACTTTATACATCTTCTTCTCAAGGCCAGGTAATCCATGATCAGTCATACTTATTAATTCAGAAACAGTCAGATAGTGTATGACTAGATTCAAAGAAGCATCTTGTAGATTTAACAAATCATACACATTCCCTCTGGGGAGGGAGTATTGGGGACCACTAATATTTAATCTTTTGAATGGTAAAAACTTGTTTCTGTATTTTTTCTCTCAGCCAGCATGTTCAGATGAGTGATGTGTCGCATTTGGGCCTCTTGTTTTAAATGATAAAATGTGTTTAATTTTAAAATATATTTAGGGTCACTGGATTGGTATTTTGCACCATGTTGTAAATGAACACCAGTGGATCTTGTCATACAGTGATGATTTCGAAAACAACAAGTGCAACCATGGACCATTGCCTGCAGAAAGCAGCAAAAGTTATCTGGAAAAAGGTTCCGATGCTCATATCGCCTTACGAGGAATCGTCCTGAATACAAGATTATTAAATAGTATTCATTACTATTTAAATTGCAGGTAAGATTATTGCAAGAATAATAGTTCGAATTTTACCTCAAAATTATAATTTTAAAATCACAAGAAAATGAACTCCAGATGAACAGTTAATTTGTAATGCTATATTATGTCTCTTATTGATTGACCATTTTTTACAAAGTATGTCTTTGCCCCAATTTACATGTAAGTGTATTGGGAAATTGTTGCACTGATCCGTTTTATTATAATTTAAATGACAAAGTGATTTAAGAAAGATTCTTGTTGAGCATTGCTCTTGATTCACTGCATTTCTGAATTCATAGTTATGTGCTTTTAATTCTTTTTCCACAGGAGCACTGCAGATCTGGAAATTTTCCAAAATGAAATCCTAGCCTATGCATAAAAAAGACACTCTTATTGCCCACCTGTGTATAGAGCTAGAAATCGATTAGCTGCTCTAGACCATAATATTCATACTGGTAGACCAGCCCTTACCAAAGACGATGGAAATCCAAGGTAGCTGATTATATTAACATAATAGTAATACGCATTATAATATGAATATGGATAAATATCATGCTTAACTAATTCCTCACTTTAACTTGATATGAACATTAATTCCAAGTGGGTTACCAATTAAATCTTAGGCAAGCTAAGTGATTATGAAATTACACTGTATATGTTACTCTATCATGTTGGATTACAAGTTTTTATTTGTTTAACACTTAGATGGAAAAGAACTTTCAACAAAAAATCAGCCAGATGGTCTGTCCAGTCAGTGAAAGAAAAAAAGACATATCCTCATCTTCCTGGCATTGTGCGCAATATTATCCAGATGAGAAAAGATGATAATGTTGGTATGAATGCCAATGTGGTTCTCGAAGCTGATGATCCTAGAAGAATTGCCAAAAACATTACATGTGTTCCCCCACCTCCAACACTACAAATTGCCTTTGAACAAAAGTCAAGGTCCAAAAAAGAGGATCCGGATAAAACTATCGATTATTGGGATAACTGAGCACTTGATCTTGTGAGCAAGTGAAGAAAACATTATCATATCATTGTTATATTTATCAATGAGCAATTTCCAAATGTAACAAACCAGTTTTGTTTGTGAAAGATTTGAAAATAATGTATGTGATCTGCAAAGATTTTTAAGATCAGTTTAGAATTTTCATTAAGGCCAATGAAAAATTATTGTTTATTTACTTTGAAGTAATTTGAGGTTCTATTGTTTATAAATGTAGGTTGAAGTTATTTGAGGTTCTGTAAAATTTATTCTTTTAGGGTAAACAGATGAAAGTTGTATCTAAGACTTGTGTTTGCTTTCAACTTGCTTGGACTAAAACAGTGAACAATTTAGCATTGTAAGGATGTGATGCTTAAGAAATGTTTTATAAACTTTGCAGAAAGGTAGGTCGCTTGTCTTTTAGTGCTATGTTTCAAATATTCAAAACTATGATTGTACCAACTATAAATTTCATAGCAGGAAAAAGATTTTGAATTCATATTATGAAAAATGTAAAATTCTGAAAGTATATCCTCATAGTTTTTAGCAATATATTTACCCATAGTACAGCTGTTTTCATTGAATGTAAAAGTTTTCAAATACTAATGAGAATCAACACTGGTACCAAATGTGTGAAATTGTTTCTTATGCCAGACCCCAAAGTTTTGTTATAAGTTAACCTGAGCCAAAGTCTCAAATGAGCTTTTACAATTCCATCTTCTGAAACACAGAGCAAATTTAGATCAAACTTTGCACAAGTTTTCCATTGGTAAAGGGAATCCTAAATAATGGCATTTAACATGTTAAAGATATACTGGTTGACAAGAGATTGAAGATATATATTTTATAATGTGTATAAGTCGTATTCATTTTATCAAATATTCTAATATATTTGAATACTCCTATCAGATATAAATAATTGACAATTTTCATATCCCTAGTATAATGTAATTCCCATGATTTGATTGGATATGATTTTTATGTGCCCAGATCCATAGATCCAGAGCGTATATTGTTTTCGTCCTGTTTGTTTCGAACTTGAACTTTCACCATTACTTTTGAACCATAAAAAATAGAAACTTCATATTTAGCATGCAAACTCCACTAATTAAGCTCTTTTAATTAACTGTGCCTCTAGGCTAAAAATAGCTTTTTTTCTGTAAACTGTAACCTTCGCCATAGCTTTTGAATCCATGAAATATAGAGACTTCATATTTGGTATGCATACTCCACTAATCAGGTTCTTTCAAATGACACGGAGTTCAATGACTTTGTGACCTTGACTGTGACCTTTATGCTGAAAATAGCTTTTTTGAACCCTCACTATAACTTTTGATCCATGAAAGATTGAGATTTTATATTTTGTAAGCATACTCCACTAATCAAGCTCTTTCAAATTACACCAAGGTCAATGACCTTGTGACCTGGACTTTGACCTTAATGCTAAGAATAGCTTTTTTCCATCAAGTTTTTTGCTTTATATATCCCTTTGTCTTAGTGAGATGGATAAAAATGGGAGACATCTTAGGAGTAATTTCTAGTTTAAAAAAAAAGTTAACAATTAATTTTTTTTTTATTTTGTGTTCAAGCACTATCATAGGATTCATTCAGTAGGGAAACTTGATTTTATTGTACTTTTGTATCAAGATAAGCGTAGTTTCTAATTTAATTGATATGAAATTCATATACACATAAAACAAATGTGTCTAGATACAGATTTTAATTTAGCCAATAATGAATAAAAAGTGTCCATGTATTATTTAGCCAAGTCTACCATCAATAAATCCAACATAGTGTCCAAATGGATCAGGATATTTATCTCTTATGCGCCAAATAACGCAACTTGGGATGACCCTTCTATTCCCTGCTCCAAGATGGCCATGGATCCAAAGAATGTATTGTCTATAAGCAGCGTAACGGTTTGCCCTGTTTAAATTTTGGTCTCTGGCTTCAACCAGCATGTCTTCTCGCATACGTCTTGCAACTTCTAATACCAACTCATCCAGTACTATGATGTCAAAATCCTGCAAGTGATTAGTTCACATTTAGGAAAAGGCTAAACTCTTATTAATGATAACTCGGAATTACATTAAGCCATTTGTCAACAAATTAGGTTTTGTTAAATTTTAAGGCTCTTCAAACTGAAGGTACTCGAAAAAATATACACTCCACTCTACTCAGGATAATTCAAAACTTACTCTTAGTCTGGAATGACAGTTTGAGGGTGTCTTATTACAGCAAACTTTCTCTGTGTCTACTGGCATCTCACGACAGAAAGTGCATGTACACCAGACTGGAATATTACCACAGGAACTGCCAGGCCTGTTGCTATTGTCATTTGTTGTATGAACATCAATTATATCCAATACAAATGAGGGCTGTCTCTGATACATTCTCATGACTAATCCACGCAGCTGCTCTGGGGGCAAAGTATTTATACGTTCCTACAGGTAGATTAGAAGAGACAGATTTGGTGATATTTTTAAAATGTAGATCAATATCATGAATATTGAAAAAATGAAATTTCAAATGTAGTGATTCTGACTTGAACATCTGTTTCTCTGATCTCTGCCATGGCAGCTCTATTAGTCAGATCCTGTTGTCTACCTATCCATTGCGCATTGACAACCCTCTTCTTTGTCCCCGCCTTGTTCTTCCTCTTCGTCCCTGCCCTCTTCCTCGAACTGAACACCGGTTTCTTTGGATAGACCCTTTTTCTGGCGATGCAGACCTTGATCTGCTCGTATCCTTAAAAATAAAACATCAAATACATAGTTAGCCTAAAGAAAACGAGCGTTAGTCTCACACCCTCCCCTTCATAACATATATATACCCCGGTATATATATATAGAGAAAGCACAAAGAAATTCACTCTTACATGGATACCCACTTCCGCCCCAGCCCGGGGTTGAACTCTCGAGCTACGGAATCTGTCTCCTAGCAGTGCAGGAAGAGCGCGTTAGACCGCTCAGCTATCTAGGCAAGTTAAAAACTTGCTTTCGATGCCGATGGAATTCTCACAACGCTGCCCTACACTACATGGTCATTGAGAATAGAAGTGAGATACAGTTATTTGGACATTAGTTTTTAGAGGATTGTTACCAATGCATGTTGTGATGAAATTAATTCATTTATAAAGCACAATTTACAACAACTCTTAAACTAATATAACTGCCCTAAGTGAAGAAATATTAATATAGAAAGCACAAAGAAATTCACTCTTACATGGATACCCACTTCCGCCCCAAGTATATATATAAATAAAAACTAAAAAATTAGGGACCAATAAACATGATAAATCATAAAGACGATATATGTATCCTCAATATAACTGTTTTTTTTTTTACTTGCATACCATTGGATAATTTTATTCTATTTATAATAATAAGAAATGTCCACAGGAGTCGGCAATTTTATCAATAAACCAATGTAAACGTTAGGCTACCTGTGAGCTTCGTTTATTGATAAAACTGCCGACTTCTGTGGAAATGTTATGCTGTGAAGGCACCTGCAAAATGTTGATCGATGATGAAAACGTTTTTTTTTTTCTTTTTCTTTTTTTTTTTTTTTGTAATAAAAACTTAATGATAATAAATAAATAAATCGTCATTCAAGGCCCCATCTCTCTGCACGTTTGATGTTGTTTTTTTTCTCAAAAACCCTTTACGGGACCCCAATCACATCCAAAGTAATATAATGCAATTTCTTGGCTTGAATTAATTATTTTTTTCAGTATGAGAGGAGCTCGCACTCATGTCGTACCAAATTTCATTAGTTATGAAAATAAATTGACATATCCAAAGAAAATAAATGATTGTTGACTTCCATGTGCTTACCTCGGAATCCATGTTTGATCGAATGATGCTGAGGTCACTTGTCACGTGGTGCGTTTCGGTAATCTTCGGAGTATCAATCGAAAACTAATCAGCTATGACGTCCAGCATAAAGCTTAACGAATCGGCGAGGTTTAAGAAAAAGCTAGAGAGCTTTGAAGTTTTATATTCAAACTAGTATTGTGATGAAACACTATTATAAATGATGCTGTGTAAGTATATGAATTAAAAAATGGTATCCGCGATTGTTTATTTGGCAGCTAATGCGGCTTTAAAATAAATTAATTAACCACTACCATCATCGTTTGATGTATATATTTATATGTGCATAATAAATTGATAGGTGTAAAGTAAGAAGTTCCGCTTGTTTTCTGCTTTTTGCTGGACATAAAAATTTTTTCAGCATAATCTGCGCATCCATAGCAAATGTAAATTGATCTGTCAGACAGAGATCCCTTTTCAATTTAAGCATTTATAACATCTCGTCTTATCTTCCTCCCATCATTTAATGCACCGTATTGCAGCCTTCGAACTCTGCACAAAATTCATTGTGACTTCTACAACTGCATGACAATTTCTTCTTTGGTGGCATTGCTTAAATATTTAAATATAAATAAATAAATTGAGAGAGATAGCGACACACTCAGAGAACAAAAGGAGAGAGAACAAAATCATAGTAATCTTTCATTTTAAACTATACTCAACAAAAAAAGAAACGCATATTGTTTTATTTGTCAAAGACATTTTTAAAATGCACATGAAACAACTATTTTTTATATCATTGGATACCTTTGACCTATTTAAAGGACAACATGGGGTTTTAAAACCCAAATGTTGAATTATCTCCCTTGATTAAACATTTTTATGAAAGTAGTGTTTTTCATGATTTCTTCTAAATCAGATGTTTATTTTCATTGATATTTTGGATTTAGAGAAACTTTTAACACTTCGATTAAACCCATATTTAAGATTTTATTGCAGTGTTAATACTGCAATGCAACGCCAGAACAAAGATGAATAAAACCAGGCTAACGATGAAACTAAATGGATCTATGCAACGGGAAGTTGCAACTGTATTTGAAATAAATCAATGGGCTTTGAAATCTTAAAACTAACGTCTGAAGACCACTATCTGGCCATCTGCAGGTAATCACAACCAGGCAGGACCGTCAGACCCCCCCCCCCCCATCACTTCATGCGATTCAGAACTTGCTGTAAAACTGCTGCTACAA